TTCCCCCCCCAGTAGTTCAAGTCTCAATGAAAAGCTGAACTGCAAATACGCCTGTGAGTCTGATTGATGTTGAAGAATTTTAAGTACCCCAGACAGCAGAACTCAGAGAACTACAAATCTCAACTTGACAGCCCTGAGAACTGAAATGTGTAGCGTTTTTGTTTTTTTTCCGTCGCATCAACAAAACTTCAAAGAGCTGTCAGGAATTTTTGCATGTACAATTTCTCAAAACCTAGTTTGGGTTTGCTTTCATGGTCTGTGCAGAGGCACATTTTCTATTTCCTCTAGGAGTTTCACGCCCTGACAGTTGGTGTAATTGAAACGATGTTCTCTGTTCCCCTCAGTTCAATGTCCTGAATAACTTTTAGTGGATAACAGCAGGCCCCAAACAGGTGCCTCTCCTGAACCTTTCTCAGAGTTATGCTTTATGTGGAAATGGGATTAGAGAGTCATTGACACGACTAGAGTATCTCTGTCCTTACAAGTGTTTTAAAAGATGAATTTATAGTAGCACACACATAGCATGGCCCTTAATATGTCAACCGATGAAAGCTCACGCATTTATTAAGTGCTAAAAAGAAAAAATAATGCAAATGAGACGGCTTCACATTCATTTATCCAAATAAGTAACTTGCTTTCAAGTTAACGAGTACATGTGAAATTGTGTCGCACACCACTTGGTGCAGTTTAGATAGCACATTGAATGCCGCTGGAACCTTAGCCTAATCCATGCAATCACAGTACATGGACGGCTTCCCGGGCGAGTGCAGTAGGCCATGTAAACAGCAGGACACCTTGAGTACATCTGTTTCGCTGGCATCTGCAGCTACAGCAGCGATCCCAAAAAAAAAAACTCCACCGAGATGAATGTTTTCTGGAGATAAGCCAGAACCCTGAACCTGAAGAATTGATTTGAATAAAATTTGGATGGAATTATGGCGATTATTTGATCGCTGTTTTCTGAAACATCTTTTTGATTTCAACGAGAACTGACGGGCAACGCAGCAATCCAGTCGCCTTGCCCTTTCCTTATCCAGCTGCTTTCTCCTCCAAGCCTTCTCTTGGCTACAGCGATGTGAACATCAATATGAGAGAGAAAGCATTGTAAAACGACATCCTTTTTTTGTTGTTTTTCTGTTTTTGAGAATGATATTGTTGCAATTGCTTGCCAACATTGCAGATCAGCGTCATCAATTTGTGAATTGCCACATGGACTTAGCGGCTTAAAAATGCAATAGTGTTGTGGAGGGGATCTGGAGTCTGGAGTCTGACCCTGGCGTAATTGCATGCCAGCACAAAGGATTTAGCCACTAATGCTTTGAGAGAGCACAGCGGGGGGAAAAAAGAGGGTATGCTGACACATCACAGATGGTCCTCAGCCACTCACTCTCTTCCTTGTCCTGTTAGTCAGCTGTTGTCTGTCTCAGGCCTTGTAAATCACACCCACCCTGCAAACTTGGCTAAGCTCCACACCTAGGGAGCCGTTTCTAAACATGTGGTTTTTGCTGATCTAATGGCTAAAATCGCCTATTATCTCCAAATGATTGCAGCATAATTCATTGACATCACATTATGACGCGATTGACCCTAATGGATTGATAGAATTGTCCTTGCTCTCATTAGTATGTGGATGATGCAACTTCTAAATCTGCTCGAGTTCATCCAGGGTCCTTATTGTTTTATTAGCACTGTTAGCTCAAAGCCAGCTGGATATGAACCCAAATTCCCTTTGAGGGGCCACGTTCTTTGGCTGGATCAGACAGTCAGAGTGGTACACGGGGGGCCTGAGGGCGCTCTGCCAGACTCGCTGCTTTGATACTTCCTCTCACAGCACCAGGCAAAGGGCCTCCCCATGACCCCTGTTAGATAACATGTCTTTGCTGGAGAGACACAGGGGAAAAAAAAAGGTACTGTAGCTGTGTTCAAATAAAAAAAAAAAAAAAAAAAAAAAAAAAAAAAACACCGGCAGATGTTGCATAGCTCAATTTTTTTGGCCATCTGCTCGTGATGCCCATGAATTTACAAATGAGTGTGTTGTGATGTAACAATACTCATCAGGCTTCATTATTGTTTAGGTGAACAAGGAAGAGAATCTCCAGATCTACTAGACGGAGACATCCTATCCGGTCAGCCAATACAAAGGTAAGAAAGGGTCTTTTAGAAGAACGCTGTGTAAGTTGTGTGTTAAATTGGCTCGCGGGCAAATAAAATAGTGTTTGTTTTTTTCCCCCCTGTAACAGAAGAAGAGCCTTCCGGTACACTCCTGGGATTTTTGAAAAGAACAATGGTCTGGACAGCGAACAGGAGGAAAGCGTGGACGGTAGCCCTGTGAGCCCCTTGCCCCGTTACTTAGCAAAGACCAGCAGTTCTGAGTGGAACAGCTCGGATGACCTCGCTGGACCCTTCTCTGAACAAGAAGAGACTGGCCCTCTTGCCCACATAGACCCTTTCTCGCACAACTATCCCCCACCTCTACCCCCCAAGACCTTTGCCGACAGTCACGCCGACGTCCACTCCCAACCCCCGGAAGTGCCAACGCGGTCGAGCCCCCGCTACGAACCCAAAAATGGCTTGTCTCCACTCTCGCACACCACCCTGCGTCGGTGGATTGAAACACCTGCCGACCACCGGCTTTCATCAGATGCCAGCTCCAAGTCGGGGTCATCGGATCAAGACAGGAACGATCTGTCGGCCAGCGAGAGCGACGAGAGGTTACCCAGCCCAAACCTCGGACATCATGACGGCATGGACTCCCCCGGTCTCGCAGACATGGCTCTTCCCACCACGTACTTTTCTGTGGATAGCTGTATGACGGACACTTACAGGGCCAAATACCACAAGAGACCCGCCTACATGAAAGCAGAAGACCATACGTCATCAGGGGAGAGTGACGTGGAAGGAAGGCTCCCTTTGTCAGATGTTCAACCAAAATCCAAAAGCAGATCAGAATTAGGTACCAATGATAATATTATTTGCATAACTTTAAAAAAAATCATTTTTGTAAATGTTTGGATTAATTGAGTCCTTGGCTTTTGTCTTGCAGGCTATACTACCACAAAGACTACTGCAAAGTGGAACCCGATTACTTCAAAAGGACTTGATGAGCACGGTTTCTTATGATTTTAGCAAAAGCATCAATCGACCTTGTGTAATCCAGTGACTGGATGCCAAAAATAATTGCTATGCACTATGGCTGCTACACAGTTTGACTCCCTCTGACTGCGATGTGTGTGTGTGTGTATATGTATGTATGTATGTACACATACACATACACATATATACATACACACATACATATACATACATACACACACATACTTGTCATACAGAAAGTCGGACATGAAACTGGATGCCAAAGAGATTGTAAAAAGAATGGCAGGTGTCCTTAATAGCTATCCTTCTGTTTTAGTATGAACTACTAAACGCTTTGAATGAATAGTGAATTTGCACAGTAAAGAGCACCAGAAAGGTACAGAAACATGCCCAAAACATTTTTGCTGTCTGGACTGTTGGAGCTCAAAATCAATGGGGTTAGGTTCGTAAAGAATGTGTCACAGAAAGCCACTTTACCACACGAGAGATTAACATTTTTATTTTATGTGAAGAAATCCCCAACTTCTTGCAGTTCTACTTTCTCCCACTTCCTGAAATGCTTTAATTTGTTTATTTAAATACTCTCATTTATTTGTCTTACAACTTGTCTGCCCCACTCTCTCTTTTTGACATAATATACCTTTTTTGTAGATTTTGGAAAGTAGTCCACCCTATTGGTCACTCTTTTGGCACGACTTAAAAATGGATCCCAAGGATCTGTGTGAATGTGAAGCTCCCAGGACACCCACATATGAGACCTCGTCATAGGACTGATAAGGCAGGGAAACCTACAACCTCTGCTTCTTGTTGGTACGTGGAGTTTATTGACCTCTGCAAAGAAGACGTTTAGTTATTTCCTTTGTCTCGAGGTCTAATACCTCTGATCACCAGGGTGTCCAGGGCCTTTAAGGTGATGGGTACTTGTGCTTAATTGATTGATTATTGTTGGAAAGGTATGTGACACAGTAACACCAGGCACATCCCTATCTCCTCACATGCACGCCTTCACACATCCTGAACTGTGTTTTCTGTCTTTGCACCGTATTTCTGTTAGATTCTTTTTACACTCCGAACAGTTATAAGCTTCATTTTTTCTTTGTTTTTAAATCAATAATGCAGTTCCCTGTCCTGTTTCTTCAGAATAGCTCCTATTAGCAGCAAGTCTGCACTTGTCATCTAGAGATAGATGAGTGTTGGTTATTTTGGTTTTTTTGAGAGGGGTTATTGATAATAACATGTTTTAAATCTGAGTAGTGGACTACGTTTGGGTTCAAAATGTTTTATATATGCAGCAAACTCTAATGCACAGTGCCTTTTGTATTTTTCTATGTCATGACCACATTAGAGTGGAGCCATGATTTGTACAACTGTGATTTGAAAGAAAGAATTTTTGCAACATTTTATTTTATTTTTATTGATTAATAATTGTCAAATAAACCATTTTATTTAACCATATGTGTGTGTGTGTGTGTGTGTGTCAAGCTGTTATATTTAAGAGCACAACATTTAGAATATAACAATGTGGATCTTGGATCTTTATTATTTAGTTAGAGGAAAGTCTTTGATCAATAGGCTCATTTTGAAGTCCTGGTGATAAACTTACAAAATAAATATTTTTTTACTGAAACGGAAGATGTCCATCATTGTATTCCTGTAATGCTGGGATACTTGGTGATTTGCTGCCACCTGCTGCCATGTATCGTAATGCACCTAATATTCAGAACTGACTACCTAACTAAGAATCCACAGGCTCTAAATCTTGTAGTTCTTACGCCACATAGGACCTCGCAAATTTCCCCAAATACAAGTTTTCCGTTACACTCAAAGGGCATCAGTGAGCAATATTGTATATTTTGGTAAGGTAGTGTCCAATCAAAGTCTGTTACAAGGACACGTTACACTTGAAATGGTCTAACCTGATAACAATAAGTGGCTCTGTAATTAATGGAGCGTAAAAGACTTCCATACTCAAACTAAACGGTATGATATATACATATTTCAGAATATTAAGTGAGTGTGGCTCCATAACACTGTATACGTTGAATAAGCTTGATCAAGGACTGGTCAAACCTTCAAACTAGGGGTGTTAGGATGTACCAGTATTGACAATAACCGTGCTATTTACAAATAAAATATTGATATAATGTTAATACCACACATGATAAACAAAGTTAATGAATAATTTGAGAGAAACCAGATAGATTTTCTGATATTGTGACAGCCCTACTTCAAACTGTTAGAAAACATCAAACTGAATTATTTAACACAGTGGATTCAATATACCTTCATTCCACTAATGAGCTATGAAATAATGCTGAAGTGCAATCACTACCCAGGGATCGGGGCTTATTTTACGGTTGGAATATTCCGACACATTATGAATTCCTTCCGGAGAGTAACTTTACAGCCGCCTGCACGGTGGAGTCAATATACCAATGTTTTGACTTTGAAACAAAGCGATTTCAGGGCTGTTGTGTTACGTGGGTGTTCTAACAAAATGTGATTGTTTTTTTTCATGTCTTCTCAATGATCCCAGTGTCTCCTGATATTTTGATGTTTCAGAACGTCAAATGAACATACTGTTTTCATCCTCAAGAGGGAAGTAGAGGACTTTGCAACCAAAATGAAAGCTGCAACTTCATCAAGACATTCACTTCATGTGTACTGTACATTTTACTTCATTTCATTGGCAAGCTCGTACTGCAACTTTCTGTACATGTGTTGATTTAATGTGTCGCTCTGTATCTCGGTAGGCCTATATTACAGAACGTTTGTGCACAAAAGTGGCCTACTCTTTCCATTGTTAACACGTTATCCAGGTGGAACTTGTGTACTTAATTTAACAAAAAAAAAAAAAAAAATTTATATATTTGTTTAGCATTATTTCCCTTTTGTACATTTTCATTCTCTAGCACATTGCCCCTGGAAATGTCTTCATTCTCCAGCAGAGACAATAGGGAAGATTCACCACAGGTATTTTAAGATTATATTGCATCTTCAACAATGCCGGAAATATCTGAAACAAATTGAGTAAGCTGTCAAAAAGACACAAACATGTGGACACCAAATAGACTTGTCAACCGCATAATTGACTTAGAAAAACAGCTCGGGCATGGATTTTCACCGCCTCTCATCTGCATCAAATAAACTATTTGTTGCCACTTGTAGGAAGACAACTCACAAATACAATTAAGAGATGGGATAATGATTGTTTTTTTTTTTTTTTTTAAATGTTAATCCCAGACCGGAAAATAAATCTTCCGATGTTCACAACAGGGAGAAAAGTGGAAATGCTCACCATGCAATGTATTGAGGGAATCCTGACAATGTTCTGTCATTCAGTGCCCTGCTACTCGTTGCGTGGCACGTCTATCATAGTTTTGGTGTGCTTAAATCTTTGCTGCCTTCTGGTGTGTGTGTGTGTGTGTGTGTGTGTGTGTGTGTGTGTGTGTGTGTG